CACACACGTACACACACACACACACACACACTCTGCCCATATCTCTATTTTATCCCTAGTGCATGTAAAAGCTTTTTTCTTTTCTGTGGTTTTTCTTCCTCTTTAGAGGTCCAGGCACGGAGTGCTAGAAACCCTGTTGTTTTTGTCAGGATTATTAAAGCTTCAAGCAATGCCAGATTCCTGCCCTCATCCGCTTGCCTAATATAATTATTCCCACCATATTGGATATGTATGTGTTTGTTTGTTTGTTTTTGTAAAATCTTCCTCCTCAGACTAGTCTTTTTGTGCCAGATCTGTAGTCGATTTGGCATGCACTTAGTGTGGAGTGTCCTTGTCAATAATCATTAAAAACATGTTGAAGTTTGAATTGAACATGACTGCCAGAGGCCAATAATGTAGTGCACGGCCTGTTTCAATAAAAATTAGCTATTTGGGAAATGCATGAAAAAATCTTACTGTAAAAATGGTTATAGTTTGAGCTTAATTTCACTCAGATTGAGATTTTTTAAGCACCCAATATTAAATATATTTGCATATTAGAATGATTTCTGAAGCATCTGAAGCATGTGACACTGAAGACTGGAGTAATAAATGCTGACAATTCAGCTTTGATCACAGGAATAAATTAGACACGTAGAAAACAGCTATTTTAAATTGTACAATTTTTACTGTATCTTTAATCAAATAAATGCATCAAAGTGTTAAAGCCCAGACCTTCTTCATGCAGAAATATCTTTCACAGAGATCTATCTTGAAATTAACATTCAGTTCCAAACACGTTATCACCTAACGCAGGTTAATGACAACACGAATCGACATTCACAGCACATTTCATTTCTATAATGTAACATATTTCCTAGTGAAAGATTATTCAGTGTGAAAAAAAAAATGCATGCTGTAATTTTTCATAAGCGGCACAAAGTGCTTTCAGTCAAGAACTCTCCGTATAAACACAATATCAGAGTACATGAAATGCTCTCAAGGGTAGTAAAACTGCTTTATACCGATGGTCAAAATTGATTTTCTCTCTGTGTGACGGTATGTTTCGCTAATGTCAGCCAGCGAGAGCATTTGAAATCAAAATGCATCTCTATCGCATGCTTTTACGCATTATATGCACACACACTGATCTCATCCTTTCATTCAGTCTTACGGAGTTGTTCTGTCAACGTGAAATTAAAATGGACTTTTTACTGTCTTAAAGTCCCAGTGGCTTGATTTGTTGGAATGCTTATGATGTGTAGTTTGAGAGGCTTGTAATTTATGTTACAGTATCTCTTCTACTCATCAGTGCCGTTTATAATGACAGAAAATTAGTGGTGCGGAGATCATTTTGACTGCACACTATATCTTCTAAATGCAAATTGTGTTGTTGTTTTGCAGCACATTAGCCTATAGAGGACCGTAATTCATACTGAAAGCCACAAAACTTATATTTCAATAAATTTTATGGGGACTTAAAAATGTTCCTGATTTTATTGTGAACAGTTCCGTGCAAGTTATTTCAAAGATCAAATGAGTTTCCTGAAAATGATGTTCGTCTGAAATGATCTTTTTGCTGATGTCATCTAGATAATCAATAGCCAAATATCTACTTATGATTATTTATTATGACTACTTATTTAGGCAAACTCGCATGCCTTCAGGTTTCATTGTGGCACAAACTACTGGTCAAAAGTTTGGGGGTCAGTATTTTTATTATTTTTGGAAATAAATGAATGCTTTTATTCAAAAAGCATTAATTTAATCGGTCAAAAGTTACAGTAAAGACATTTAAAATGTTGCAAAAGATTTCCATTTCAAATAAATGCTGTTCTTGGAAATAAATGAATGCTTTTATTCAAAAAGCATTAATTTAATCAGTCAAAAGTTACAGTAAAGACATTTAAAATGTTGCAAAAGATTTCCATTTCAAATAAATGCTGTTGTTTTGAACATTCTATTTATCAAAGAATCCTGAAAAATAACATGTATCATGGTTTCCTCAAAAATATTGGGCAGCACAACTGTTTTCAACATTGATAATAATCAGAAATGTTTCTTGAGCAGCAAATCAGCATCTTAGAATGATTTCTGAAGATCATGTGACACTGAAGACTGCAGTAATGATGCTGAAAATACAGCTGCGCATCACAGAAATAAATTACATTTCACATTTAATTCACATAGAATACAGATATATAAAATTGTAATAATATTTCACAATTTTAATGTTTTTACTGTATTTTTAATCAAATAAACGCAGCCTTGGTGAGCAGAAGAGACTTGAATAAAAATAAATCTTACTGACCCTAAACTTTTGAACTGTAGTGTAACACCCACTTTCCACATTACTGATGATTAATGAAATCAAGTCTTGTCCTACTTTTTTGTTGAACAAACCATCTCACTTGGGACCTGTGTGACATTATGAAAGTAAAATAGACTGTGAATGGCAACTCAGGTTGACTTTAATAATGTGATGCAACAAAAGGTGAACAGAGCAAGAGGCAGAGTGAAATGCTGAAGTCAGATGGACAGAATCAGAGCACACACACACACCACCACACACGCACGCACGCATGCACGCACGCTCGCTCGCTCGCTCGCTCACTCACTCGCTCCACGCACACACACACACGCACGCACGCACGCACACACACACACACACACACACACACCACACACACACACACACTCGCACACACACACACATCTAAGCTCAGTTTTCCGATTAAAGCAATATTTCATCAGTCTCTAAACTGTGACTGTAGTTCTGCTCAAACTACAGGCCTCATTACTAACAATCTCTCTCTTCAACTTTCATTTATTTTAGTCTACTAAATATTACTCTAATAATTTTACATCTAATTACTGTAGAAAGAGTGCTGCACATCAACAGTTTGTTGATCAGTCTTCTCATTGAGTGTGTGTGTGTGTGTCTGTGAATGTTTGTTTGTGTCTGTAGTTGCATAAATATACTGTATCTGTGAATTTATTGGGAAGTTAATTACATAGTACACTGATTAATTAATAAAAAAATCACAATCAATTACATATCAATATTTTATTAAAATATATTGATTTAAAAAATGCGCTTTACAATAAGATCTTTTAGTTAATGCATTAATTAACAGTGAACAATACATCTGTTAAGTATTTGTTAGTTCAATTTAGCTAATGCATTTACAAATGCTCATTATTGCGCTTTGTTAGTTAATGTTAGTTAATGCATTGAAGTTAACTGACAAATGTTCCTTATTCCTCATTGTTAGTTAATGTCAGTTGACGTATTTATTGATCTTTGTTAACATAGTTAATATGAATGCAACTGTTCATTGTTAGTTAATATTAGCTCAGGTCCAATTTTCTGTTTATAATATACTATTAAAAATTGGTCACACTTTAGATTGGGAACTTATTTTAAGCTTATTATAAGTTTGCTGCTTATCAATAGTTCGTAAGGTAGTTGTTAAGTTTAGGTCTGTGGTTGGATTAAGGAATATAGAATATGGTCATGCAGAATAAGACATTAATATGTGCTTTATAAGTACTAATAAACAGCCAATATGTTAGCAATGTGGATGCTAATAAGCAACTAGTTAATAGTGAGAATTGGTCCCTAAACGAAAGTGTGTATATATATGGAAAAAAACTTGTTTGTTCACAATGAAACTTCACAGAGTGGGTACCTTTTAATTTAGTGCCCCATAATTTTTATTTTTATTTTCCCTTAATTCTATGTTCTCCTTTTTTATTTTTTCTAGATTCTGTGTTTTAGGATTTAATGCAAATTTATAATCAAGAATGTTGTCTAATGGAATTAATTAATTCTATTTTAATATGTAATCAAATGAAAATAATTAATTTAGAGAAAAAAACATGTTTTTATTTTGTTTGTCAAATAAGATGCTGCACAATGCAACTGTGTAAATTAAAACATGGATAAAACAATACCTCAGTTGAATGATATTCCTCAAAATTATAAATTTTATTATTATTATTATTATTATTATTACAAGTCATTTTAGTATACGGTAGTATTATATTTCTGTCATAATTTCTTCAATTTAAACCGGACTTTTATTTTGACGGGTTGTCGTGAAGGTCTTTCAGTTTTACTTTTGGTTTCAGTGTGTGTTTGAATGTAGTTTTTCTCAAATGAAATGATATAAAGCTGATATAAAGTGACTCTCAGAGCAGCTCTGGAGATGAAGTTTGTGTTCATGTCCTCATATATTGAGATGTTTGAGTTTGTAGACGAGCATACACCATTCATTCACACGCAGACATGCAGACTTATTAGTGAAATGCTACTCTCATGCTTATTCCTGCTGTTTGATTAAGCCATATCGAGTAAAAATATCCAGTGCTTATCATTGTTATCAATATGATATTATATTGTTTATTGCCCAGCCCTGAGGAGAAGTAATAATAATCATTATGGCAAACAATTTGATGAATAGAGATCTTTAGAAGTCAGTCTATCTCTGGTCTGCAGTCCAATCAAGACACATGTTTCATGTTATCATAACTAACACAATCTTTCTCTCTGCCTTTTATCCATCTTCCTAATTGGCTGGATGGAGTAGAAATATAGAAACGTGTTTGATGTTCTCCATATGTTCCTCAGTCCGTGGCTTGTGTGTCCCGTCAGTATCCGCGTCCTTCGGTCTCTCCAGAGACGTGGTGATTATATCATGGCTGTGGGTCAGCAGGGCACAGGAGGAATTTAACTCCAGCGAGGTTGAAGTGATTTATTGAAACCGTGTTCGCGTTTGCACGACTGGTACGGCGCTGAACCTCCTGCAGACGACAGGAAACAGCTGGCTGCTGTCGAAGCGTTTCATTGGTCGATGAGGATTGATGGCTCATGAGATTGGCTGTCCTGTGGAGTTACTGTAAGCTGTTAGTGTGTTGCTCCTTTTATATATTCTCTTGGAAACATTAATTTTCTATATATATATATTACTGTAAGTTAATATAACTATTTCTAAGTTGTGAAGTAGGGTACAATGGGGCTAAAGGCACACCTTAAGAAAAAAATGTGCTTTTCACTGCGCCTAAAATGTATGATTGCAGAAAAAAGATATACATTTGTATTGAACATTAATGGAGCAACAGATTTTGTGTGAAAATAAATTTATAAAAGTCATTTATTTTGTTTAAAAATCTTATAAATGTATGAGGTGGCAAGGGGGGGACTTTTACCCCACACGGGGTAAAAGGCACACAGTATTGATACAAATACTTCAGCTAAAATTATGTTTTATTTATTTTTTTTAATAATGTCTAAGTTAATCCTTGTTCAAAACAATCACTTTGGACCACAGTGGACTGGATCTCATGCCGAACGGCACGGTGAACGGCTGGCTGTTTCCAATGAATGCAGTAGCTTAGTGTGCGCGTGAGGCGCCAGCGCGATCAAACAGCTGAAACATAAAATAGAATACTCCGTAATTTTTGGTCATACAGTAAAGGCATAATTCGAAGTGTTAGCAGTTTGAAAATTCAAGAATAATAGCAAAGTTAATAAGAATTATTTCTAAATGCAGCACCATTCTTATTTCGCTCTGCATAACCTGAACGAAAAAAATATATATTTTTTGCTAAGAACGAACCGAAATGAAAACATTTAGCTTTTAATCTGTGTATTTAACAGCCTGCGAGACCTTCCCTGTGCAGTACCTTGCCTCACCGACTAAAATCAGGGCGCCCACTACGGAGACGGCACCAGAGGTGAGGGGGCACAGTGACCGAGGTGGCCGGGCTGGGCCCCCTCAGGCCCCCCCGTGGCGCCGACGCTGCTTAAATCTACAACATTAAAAAAAAACATAAAATATTAGATCAAGTAAGCACAGAATCAACTTTGCGCTGCTCCGCGCGATCGCGTCAAGGATCAGACAATTATATACGTGCATCTTGAAAGCGAATGTTTTGAAAAGTGCTACACCACGTTTTTGTGCCATCTAGTGGTTTGGATGAAAATAATATCAAAGGTGCCTTTAGCCCCATTGTACCCTATTACCCATTTTACAAGTTTTTATTTGTGAACATTAGTGAACTAGACTACTTAAGTTGAACTAACAATGAAAAATACCTCTGAAGCGTTTATTAATCTTAGTTAATGATAATTTTAACATTTACTAATACATTATTAGACGCATATATTAATCTCAGTTTGGGCTGCACAGTATTGGGGGGAAAAAAATCGGATATTGCAATATTGTGTTTTTATGCCATATGTATTGTGATATGAAAAAAGCAGTATTTTTTACCAGATTACTTAAATATGTGGCTTTATTTGGAAAGAAACAAAGAAGTAATTAAACAAACAAATAAATAAATAAGTTAGTTAGTTATTGTTTGTTGTAACGTTGTATTGTAATGAATAAGCCACCACAATTTTATATGCAAGTGAAATTTCACAGTTATTCACAGCAGATGAAATGTAATCCATCAAGACAAGCTTTGAATGACGGCTTGACAAAGCCGTTTGAACAGATGGAAGTCTAACATACTGTGACTAGCTTGAAGACTTGAGCAGTCTGAAAAGAGTTTACATCTCTAGGGATGTAGACAAGGTGCTGAGGTGTTCGTAGTAGTTGCTAGGTAGTAACTAAGTTGTGTGCAAGAGTATTGAGTGCAACAGTCTGGTCCTGGAAGAGTAAATCCCATTCATTTGAATTAATTGATTGAAGAATTGATTTTCAATGATAACTTCTAAACTTTTAAAGACAGACCCACTGTGAACTGTGAGGTTGTTAATCAGTGTTTTTGTTGTTGTTGTTGAAGCCGTCAACCCGCATTATTTCAGCATAACACATATATTTATGTACAAAGGAAACAGCATACTTATTCTAACCTGTTCTTATTAAAATACATAAAAGAGTAAGTGATCATTCTAAATTGTATTACATTTTAAATGATTTAAATATATTAAATATATTATTTTAATGTCATCTTATGGTTTCTAAATATATCTGACAAGGCTTTTTGGTATATGGACTATTGTTACACTGATTGACATTTTTCTGTAAATCATGGTCAAATGGATGATAGTTATTATTTTTTTGCACAGACAGAACACATTCTAATGCATGAAAAAAAATAAAGTTGTGTTAAATTTGTATTGTTTTGATGCTTGAAAACCCTTTCTCATCTCTGGCCCATACAATTGGCTAAATAAATAAATAAATGAATGAATGAATGAATGAATGAATGAATGAACGAGTGAATAAATAACATATTTAAAATACATATACATATTTAAAATCATTAAATCAGTAGTTTAAAATGTATCCAACATTTTTATTTTTGATTATGTCTTTCGCAGTGCTTCATGGGTATGTAGTTCCTTCCCTCATTAAAACCATAAAGTTCGCAGTCTTGTATCTTGTACTTGCCTGTTGTATAGATCGATAGTGGATTTTACCGATACCGATAACTGGCTGATAACCGATTAACTCACTGATAGCATTTAAAATGGATATTGAATGAAAACAAAACATACCACTCCAAGTAAAATAGTGCTATAATGTATTACAAAAAAATACTGTACATTTAAAATATAGATAAATATTAATATATTAATAATACATTGATAATTAGTTCATAGTGTATTAACTAATGATAACAGATACAAGTTTAAAATTAAAAAAAATATATATATTAGTAAATGTTGAAATTAACAACTTAACAATGAACAACACTTCTACAGCCTAAAGCTATCGGTATGGGTTTTTGCAATCGATTATCGGTGCCGATTAATTGGCACAACCGATCAATCGGTCTCCCTCTAGTGTTGTAGATGGTTGATGCAGTCTGATACACTGATTTAATTGGATATAGGTTGAAAATCTTTTGACAAAACCTTCACATGGTGCATGGTGGCTTTATGGAGACATCATAATGATAATGTGATATTAGAGCTCATGAGACAATTACGACATTCTTATTTGCCATTTCCATTCATCTGCATAACCTTTAATGCATGTACTGATGAGCAGTCATCCCTGTGCTGTTTCTGATATTTCACTCTAACCGGGCAATTTAGTCATCACATACTAAACATAGAGTAAATGCTTTTCACACTCCAAATAGCTCTTTTCAAAAATTTTGAAGGATCACGATGGTCTTATTCTGTGTGGTTTTGTCGGAAAGCCGTTTTGCTTCGGCCGTTAAGTTGGCTGCCGTTCTGATGATGATGACCGCTCTCTTCCTCAGGCTGGTGCTCAGATCTTGGTCAAGCTGTGAGCCGCTGTGATACGGCGATGTGTCCCGTCTCTGATGTCTTTGAGCGAGATGCGTGTTTGGAAGTGTGCTGCGCTCTTTGAACGGGTCCCTCGTGCTTCACGGCTGTCAATAGCTCGCTGCTGGACGCTCTGACGCCGCCATTCGTATTCATGAGTCTAATTCAATCAAAGAGCTCTCCGAATAAAAGGCGTCAGAAGCACTGTGACCGCCTTTTAGGGCAAGTTAGCAAATACATATGGAGGCCAGAAAGACAATTTCACTCAAAGAAAGATTGGCAAACATGGTGCATTATTAGGCTTATGCAGAAGGAATTGTTCATTGTCTGAAGCCATCTGTCCTTCAGATTGAAATCCCTGCCCTGCTGTCCCTCGTGAAAAGCCTTTAGAATATTTATTAAAAGAGAATATACTTAAGTGTGAACTGAATGCAATGTGTCCTGACAATATTTGCATTTTAAATGCAATTAAATGAAAATGTATTATAGTTTATATTAAATGCAATTATCTGAATTTTAGAGTTTTTTAACATGCTCAAGTACTTATATATTTACTTGTAATTTCTTGTTATTTGTGATGTACTGTCAAGCATTTATTGAAAACGTCTAGGTTACTTATGTAACCCTCCTTCCCTGAAGGAGGGAACGGAGACGTTACGTCAGTCGTGACTGACGAATTGGGATCTCGCCCGAGAGCCCAATCACCTTCGAGTGTTAACTAAACAAGCCAATGACAGTTGGCGTGCGTGTTTCGTCACGCGCACCCCGCCCCACAGCGCGGGTATAAAAGGAGAGCGCGTGCAAACGCACATCAGTTTTTCGCTGAGGAGCCGAGACTACGTGCCCCGGCCGTACAGCGGTGGTACAGCAACTGTGGCGACGGAACTTGTTTAGTTAACACTCGAAGGTGATTGGGCTCTCGGGCGAGATCCCAATTCGTCAGTCACGACCGACGTAACGTCGAACGTGACTGACTGAAAGGGAACTAAAATTCATTCAATGTAATTTCTATTAAAACTTGTTTTTAAACCTATTTGTAGTTTTTGCACATTTATAAAGGTGAAGTTGCAATTTAGTACATTTATTATCAATATATTAAAATTAAATGTAATATTGAATAACTGTTAAAATTATAATCAAGTACTTTACATGCGCTTTAGGATGTTAGTCAACACATTCAAATAAGTTTACTTCTTTAAAACAGGATACAAGATTATTAAAACATAATGATTTAAAATGTATTTGTAAAATGTTTAATTTGACATTATTACAAAATGCACTTTTAAAAGTGGTTTTCAGATTCTTCTAAATCTCATTTTAGTGCTTTAATTACTGTTTAATAATTGGATATGTTCAATCGGTTGAAAACTTTAACAATTTAATAATGTATTACAATTTTTTAACAACAATAGTGGCTATTTTTTGTCAATCGAAATCAGTGGTAATTAAATGAATGCATGAAACCATTATAATCTTTTAAAAATATAATCAAATTAAATGAGGTAATTTCCTTTCATTTCTGGAAAGCAGTGCTGTACAATTTTTAATTAAAATATGCATGAAACCTTGTGTGATATTCCTTAAAAAGGTTTTAATGAATAGTATTATAGTAATTACTTTTGAGAATAGTAATATATTTCTGTAATAATTTCTTCAAGTTAAACATAACTTTTATTTTGGCGGGCTAGAGAAGACCTTCGATTTTCTGTGTGTATCTGACAATAGTTTTCTCAAGACACGCACAACATGCAGACTCCATATTTCAGTAAGCCTTTCTGCAATATTCACAGACACTAGTCCATATTGCGATCTGATTAATTGTACAGCCCTACTTTTAATTTATTCATCCAAAATTCCATGACATTCTATTTTATACAGTAAATTCCATTTTTAATGACTGGATTCCAAGATTCCGTCCGTATTTGGAACAGCCTTTGCATCAATATCTTGCCTTTAAATGCAGTCTATTCTGGCAGGTTCTCGCTAGGTTTGGACCAGATTCAGTCTTCAATGCACAGAAGGCCAGTTCTCTTTTCAAAGTCTATTGTGTGTCCAACACAGACGGTAGACAGGGTTATAAATATACGAGCGCTCAAGCTCAAGGTCTTTATTGGGTGAGACCGCGCAGCGCGCTGAGGTGTGTGCGCGCTTGCGTTTGTCTGGAGGGAATGTGGAAGTTAAAAGCTAGTCAAACGTCCCGACACACTCACAAATAGAGCTGGACATCGAGCTGCGGGGGGTCTGGGCTGCGGAGGGCTTTGTCACTTTCGTAACGCGTGTGTGTGACGGTCTGGAGAGAACCGGACTCTGTGTGTATAAAATGCAAGAACACCGTACAGTGTTCGTAACCAGACCTAGGTGGATCTTTTTTGTGCATTTTCTGTGCTGGAAAATCTGCTGGATGGATGTAAACATGGTAAAGAGTACTGTGCGGAGCCGCATTTATGTTTAATAATACATTAAAACAGTGTTCTAATAATTGTCAGGCCTGCTGTGCCTAAATATTAAAAGTTGAGGCTTTCAAACATTGTACTTAATAATAATAAGTACTTATTTTCTACTCACAATGTGAAAAATAAAAATTGGTATTGATTTATTATGTAATACTGGCGTTGATGAAAGATGCTGTAAAACAAGAATTATTTAAAATATACTTCCTTTATGCTGATTTTACATTAAGTGTGGGATTAAATGTGTGAATATACACTACTGTTCAAAAGTTTATTAAGAAATTAATACTTTTATTCATCAAGGATGCACTAAATTTATAATGTTACAAAATATGTCTATTTCCGACAAATGCTGTTCTTTTGAGCTTTCTATTCATGAAAGAATCCTGAAAAATAATATGTATTACAGTTTCCACAAAACATATTTGTAAGCACAACTGTTTTCCACATTGATAATAATCAGAAATGTTTCTTGAGGAGCAAATCAGCATATTAGAATGATTTCTGAAGATCATGTGACACTGAAGCCTGGAGTAATGATGCTGAAAATTCAGCTCTGATCACAGAAATAAATTACATTTTATAATATGTTCATATAGAAAACAGGTATTTTAAATTGTAATAATATTACACAATTTTAGTGTTGTTTTTCTGGATTTTTAACCAAATAAATGTAGCCTTGGTGAGCAAAATTAAAATTTTGCTAACCTCAAACAGTAGGGTATTGCATATTAAATAATTGCATTACATAATCTCATATAGTACAGCATATGAGTTAGTATTTCTGTTTTTCATAATTATTAACTGGATTATCCTAAAATATACATTACAGATTACACATAGTCATTAACATTGAAACCTTTTATTTTTGTTAAACACACGCACACACACACACACATACACACACACACACACACACACACACACACACACACACACCTGCTGAGGTGAACATACATACACAAAGACTCATAAAACAATTACGGTGTGTGTGTGTGTGTGGATACTGAAGGCCCTGTTTAGACTCAGAGCTCTGCTTTTGAAGAAGGCCCTGTGTCGTGATGCCAAGCATAGCAACCACAAAGAGAGTTTAATCCTTATATACAAAGCCTCTCTCTTACCACAGCAGCACACACACACACACACACACACACACACACAGGTCTTAAAGCATTACATTTCCGTTCTGGGTAACCATGCCAACCTTAATGTCCAACTCCAACGAGTGTTTTTTTCTCTGTCTGTCTCTCGCTCTTTCCAGCCACACACTGCATTCCT